AGATCTCAGATGACTCAATAGCAAGAAAACAAGAAATCCAATTAAAAAATGGGCAAGAGACCTGAATAGATGTTTCTTAAAAGAAGAGATACAGATGGCCAGCAGATACATGAAAAAATGCTCAGCATCACTAATCATTTAGGGAAATGCAAATTAAAAACACAATGACAGGCCGGGTGCGGTGGCTCACACCTGTAATCCTAGCACTCTGGGAGGCCGAGGCGGGCGGATTGTTTGAGCTCAGGAGTTAGAGACCAGCCTGAGCAAGAGCAAGACCCCGTCTCTACTAAAAATAGAAAGAAATTAATCGGACAACTAAAAATATATAGAAAAAAATTAGCCGGGCATGGTGGCACATGCCTGTAGTCCCAGCTACTCGGGAGGCTGAGGCAGAAGGATTGCTTGAGCCCAGGAGTTTGAGGTTGCTGTGAGCTAGGCTGACGCCAAGGCACTCACTCTAGCCCGGGCAAAAGAGTGAGACTCTGTCTCAAAAACAAAAAAAAAAAAAACAAAATGACCAGCCTGAGCAACATAGACCTCATCTGTACAAAAAAATTTAAAATTATTAGCTGGGTGTGATGGCATGCACCTGTGGTCTTAGCTACTCAGGAAGCTGAGGTGGGAGGATCACTTGAGCCCAGTAGTTAAGGTTGCAGTGTGCTATGAGCGGGCCATTGCACTCCAGCCTGGGTAACAGAGTGAGACCTTGTCTCAAAAAACTAAAAAAAACCGACAATGAGATATCATCTCACACCTATCAGAATGGCTATTATCAAAAAGATGAAAGATAAGTGTTGGCAAGGATGTGAAGAAAAGGGAACCCTTGTACACTGCTGGTGGGAATGTAAAGTGCAGCTATTATGGAAAAACTATGTGGAGGTTTTTCAAAACTCTAAAGATAGAATTACCATATGACCCAGCCATCCTACTTCTGTGTATTTACCCAAAAGATTTGAAATCAGTTTGTCAAAGAGATGTCTGCACTCCTGTATTCATGACAACACTATTCAGCATAGAGAAGTTTTATAGGAGCAACCTAAGTGTCCATCAACAGATGAATGGACAAAGAAAACGTGGTATATATACACAGTGGAATACTATTCAACCTTTAAAAAGCTGGAAATTTTGTCATTTGTGACGACATGGATGGAATAGGGGGACATTATGCTAAGTGAAATAAGCCAGGCACAGAAAAACAAATACCACATTTCTCACTTATATGGGGAATCTAAAACAATCAAAGTGATAGAAGCAGAGAGTAGAATGGTGGTCACAGAGGCTGGGGGATGGGAGGAATGGAGCAATGGTGGTCAAAAACCGTAAAATCTCAGGCAGGAGGAATGTTTTTCTTTTAGTTCTGTTGTACAATGTGATGAATATAGTTAATATTAGAGTATTGTACATTTCAAAATTGCTAAGAGCATAAATTCCAAACATTCTCACCACAAAAAAATGTTAATTATTTAAGGTGATAGATATGTCAACTAGGTTGATTTAATTATTCCACCTTGTATTCGTGAATCATAGCACCACTTTGTATCCCATAAATTTATACAATTATAAATTGTCAATTTACAATTTAAAAAAAACAATGACCGTTAACAGTGTGATCTTTAGGCAAGATCCTAGGCACAGTAACTACATCTATAAATGAGGACCCTAAACTAGGTAAACTCTAAACTCTGTCGTAGCTCCAGTGTATTGTGAAAGAGGGAATCATATCAGTGTGTTCCCTGAAACTGCAGGGGGAAATTTTCAGTTTACTACAGCTCTATTTTACTTCCTATTAATTCTTTGTCTGGTGATTGTTTCATGAGAGCTTAGCACTCAGTCACCTTCAACTCAAATAAGTGTTTTCTTTCACCAAACCAAAGAACTAGGAACAACCCGCCAAATGTTTAGTTAATCCTGTTGTACAACGCTGACAATAGAGTTAGAAAATAGAGAAATTCTTCTAGCTCTTTTGTACTTTCTTTTTTGTTTGTTTGTTTTTGGAGACAGAGTTTTATTCTGTTGCCCTCGCTAGAGTGCCATGGCATCAGCCTAGCTCACAGCAACCTCAAACTCCTGGACTCAAGCGATCCTCCTGCCTCAGCCTCCCGAGTAGCTAGGACTACAGGCATGTACCACCATGCCCGGCTGATTTTTTCTATATATTTTTTTTTAGTTGTCCAGATAATTTCTTTCTATTTTTAGGAGAGACAGGGTCTCGCTCTTGTTCATCTGGTCTCGAACTCCTGACCTTGAGCGATCCACCTGCCTCAGCCTCCCAGAGTGCTAGGATTACAGGCATGAGCCACCACACCCGGCAAATTTTTATTTTTCATTCAAAATTTGGCACACATTTTTGGCATTGTTCTTTTATTCCTTTCAACCTAAACTAGAAAGTAATGAAAATTCTTGGTTTCCAATATAATGTTATATTGACCTACATGTGGCTCTCTTTTATTTATTTGTTTAGTTTTTATAACATATTAAACACCTGTTGACCACCAAACACAAAAGTAAGGATCTTGACACTAACCCACATCTAACCATGCAATTTTAGAACCTTTGAAATCTTAAATGTAGTTTTATTGCAGTTAGCATTTTTTAAGGACTGCATGATTTATTTTGTTACTAAATTTTGGCAGTTCAAATTCTCATGACGGCAGATATTCCCCCAGAGAGGCCAGTAAGTAAATCATATGTAGATTAAGCATGCCCTATTAGAGTGGATGTACATTCACCCTAGGAGCTATATGGCCTTAGACAAATGGATTTATTATCCTTAAGCCCGTTTCATAATCAGTAAAATTAGAAGAATAGCTATCTTAAAGAGTTCTGTAAGGAATAAAGTACTGTATGTGCTATCACCTGATGCTTGATGTGTTTTTACTGTTTTAATCCCCTGCCTGTCCTCCTGAGTATTTTCAACACGTGTGCTTGAATGCTCCGCTTCCCCACTAGATGGCACTAGTTTGTTGCTAACTACAGTCACCACTGTAGATAGCCCTGTGGTTAGTCCTTGTGAATCTATTGCTATTAGAGGAAATACATTTGAAAGAGCTGGTAAAGATTATAAAAGTGTTATAAAGTTGATTGTAAGTAAAATGAGAAAGAATTTCTTGTACCGTGAAAAAGAATCACATCAGTGTACAACATAAACACAAAAATTAAATAGTGAAACCTATTAAGGAATAATAGTTTAATGGTCAGATCATATAGAGCTTCTTAAACTATATTAGGACCTTGCGTTTTGATTCAAGTGCAATGGAAAGCTACTATTGATGAATTTTAAGCAGAGAAGTGTTAGTATATTATTTATTTATTTATGTTTTTTAAATATTCTGACACTTCTTTTTAAGAGACAGGGTCTTGCTCTGTCACCCAGGTTGGAATGCAGTGGTGCAATCACAGCTCACTGTAACCTCCAACTCTTGGTCTCAAGTGATCCTCCCACCTGAGCCTCCCAAAGTGCTGGGATTGCAGAGGTGAGCCACCGTGCCTGGCCAACACTTCTGTTTTTCAAAGACACTGTTAGGCCACATGCAGTGGCTGACACTTGTAGTCACAGCACTTTGAGAGGCCTAGGCAGGAGGGTCCCTTGAGCCCAGTAGTTTGAGACCAGCCTAGGCAACATAGTGAGACCTCATCTCTACAAAAAATGAGAAAAAAAAAAATTTAGCCAGGCATGGTGGTGTGTTCCTATAGTCCTAGCTACCCCGGAGCCTGCATCAGGGGGATCATATGAGCCCAGGAGTTGGAGGTTACAGTGAGCTATGATCATGCCACTGTACTCCAGCCTGGGCAACAGAGCAAGACTCTTGTCTCTAAAAAATAAAAAACTAAGACACTGTTAAAGTGATTAAAAAGAGAAGGCATAAAGTTGAAAATAATATTTATATAAACAAATGACTGATCTAGAATATATAAAGAATTCTTATAAATCACTAAGTAAAAGACAAAATAACAGAAAAATTAATACAGACTTGAATAGTGACTTCAAAAAAGGAATTTCAGATGGCCAGTAAACTTAGAAAGGTGCTCAGCCTTTTTAGTAGACAGGGAAAAGCAAATTAAAACCACAATGAGAAACCATTAGACACCTACATGATTGGTCAAAATGTATAAATCTGATGATATCAAGGGTTTACAGCAACAGGACACTGCTGTGGGAGAGTAAGTTGGTACAGCTACTTTAGAAGTATGTAGTTAAATCAAAGGAAATATACCCTGGGATTTTTGCTCCAAATTAAATATCCTAGGGAAGACCGTGCATAGTGTAACAGTATCTTTTATACAAGAATGTTCTTAGCAGCATGGCTTGTAACTGCCAGAAACTAGAGCTAACAAAAGTGTTCATTGGGTGGACGATGGACAAGCAAATGAAGGTGTTTTCCATATAGCAGAATACCATAAAACAGCGAAAAGGAAAGCACGACAGCAGCCTCGTGCACAAAAAAGATGTCTTAAAAACATTAAAAACATAATGTAGAGCATATAAAGCAAGATAGAAAAGAAAGCATATGGTACGATTCCATTTATATAAAGTTCAAAACTTAAGCAAAACTGAATTGTATTATTTAGGAACACAAACTTGAGTGATAAACTATGAAGACGAATAAGAAATTGAGTTAGAATGGTAGCGACCTCTGGTGGGGAGAGAAAAGGCTGCTGAGGTGATGGCTGTGTTCTTCCTCTCTACCAGGATAATGGTGACTTGCACATTCACTTTTTATTTATGTATCCAGCTATACATTATGTTATGTTTGATGTACTTTTCTGCACGTGTTTTGTTTCACAGTTAAAAGTTTTAAAAAATAGACACACACTGGCTCTATGTGGAGAATGGATTATGTATGGACCATAATGGAAATAGGGAAACCGAAATGTAGGTGAGAGATAATAGTAGGGCTTGGACCAGGGCCTTGGTGGTAGCAGAGATGGAGAGAAACAGATCCAGGAGGCAGGAGTAATGGGACTTGCTCACAGATGTTTCCTCTTGTTCTTTGTGGTAGTTCATAAACCAGAAAAGGTTACCTGGACAGAAGCAGCTGGAACTATTCGGGATGGAGTACGAGCCTATACAGCTCTGCATTATCTTTCTCATCTCTCTCCTGGAAAATCAGTGCTGATCATGGATGGAGCAAGTGTAAGTGCTAATGCTGTTCAGAAACAGACCAACATATAGTAAGCTTAGGGAATTTAGAAATTAGCTAATATAATTTGCTAATATAATTCCTTGCTTATAGCTTACTCACTGATTTCTTTATCAACTTCCGATTTTGTTATAGTAAGCAGCTTGTAGCAATAGGAGATAAACATTAGATTTAGTGCAATTAGTTTCTCATTACTTTGAATCGGCTAGTATATTAAAGCAGACAAACCATTTTTATTCATTCCCGTTACACAAAGCCTGAAATAATTCATGAGTCTTTGAAGTCCATACTCCAGAACTTTTTACCAGTTTTGAATCGTATTTCCCACGCTCACACTTTTGTTAATAAAGTGTTGGCATTTTATAGACGAATCACATACAAAATCAAAATGTGCTAATTTAAACGTATTACATGTATCATCCAAAAAAATAGTTCAAGACAAACACTAAAATACGTAAAAATATTATAATCTAAAAATGTTGAGATGAATTTATAGTTTTATTTTTTATCTGGCTTTTGATGAAAGTGCTTTCTCCCCTGCTTTTCTTTGAAGAAAAGGCAGAGCTGTCTTCGGCATTGGCTTCAGCCTGATGTCCAACATCAGGATAGTAATGTTTCCCCGAACTTACCCATGGGTCCGAAATAGGATGGAGCTTTTGAAGTGCTTTGATCTTCAAAGAAAGGTAGCTGGACTCCCATATGTACTATATAATTAACTTAGACCATCATGCTGACAAGGCCCTTAAGGCCCATTCTTCTCTTTCCAAGCCATGTGTCTGGATGTGGCCCTCCATCCTTGAAATTATGTGCTGTGGTCAGACTATGGGTGAGAGCATGTGACTTGTACAGCTTGTCCACCATCCCTTCTGAAGAAGAAAGTCAAGCAAATATTTCCCCTACTAAACTTGTCTGTATTTTTTCTCTTTTCCTATTAGATAACATTTAAAAATATACTAAAGTAACAATAAAGAATACACTTTATTAAGCAATCTATAAAATAAATTAGATTTGGCGTCTGCCCTATAACTATAAACGCATTGTATATTTTTTTTCCACACAGGCATTTGGTACAATAGCTATTCAGTTAGCACATCATAGGGGAGCCAAAGTGATTTCAACAGCAAGCAGCCTTGAAGACAAGCAGTTCCTTGAAAGACTTAGGCCTTCTATAGGTGGGTAATATTACTCAGCAGACTTTAAAAATGTAATTATGAAAAGAAATCACCTTAAAAACTGCACTTGTAAAATAAAGTACAAAGTCAGAAATGAAAGTCAATATTAAAATGCACTTGGTATCTGTGACCAAGTCCAAATTTACTTAAGCGATAGTTTTAATTTTAATTATTTAAGTTTTTTAAACCTACATTTTTCAGTGTTTTTTTCTCCTTTGCCCCATTGTCATCAACAACTTACCCAAGTTTGAATTAGGTAAACTTTGACACAATTTAGAAATACTCAGTGCTTCTTTGGTTTTAGTCAATAAATCAATATATTTTTGCACCACTTTGTATGTTTCTCAACCTCTTTTACCCTGTAATATACCTCTAATGTCTATTTTCCATGATAGACTAGGAAGGGCGACGATGATCCACTTACACAGAAACACAGGTCATCAAAACATATACTTTATGATGATTAGGACATGGTGGAGGCTGGTGAGCTCTTGAAAAGATTGAACCTATCCAAACAGCAATGAATATGGAGAGGAGGAAGAAAATAGAGACTGAAAATAATGAACAAGGAAAACAGAAAGATAGAAACAGAAAAACTAACAGATGATGAGCAAAAAGAAGGAGCAGAGTATTAGGTGAAGGGCAGGCAGGAAGGAAAGTAATGTTTATTGAATGCTAATATGGATGTTACCTCCTGAAGTCCTTAATAATCCTGGGTTGGCCGACCAGGAAACAGTATCTCAGAGAATTTAACTAGCATGTCCAAGGATATACAACTAAGAAAAGGACTGGAAGGAGATTTGAACCCAGGCCTGTCTAACATCATAGCCTATGTTATTTCCATTGTTACATTATGCTTCTGGGCAGAGATAACCAAGAAATGGAAGGAAGGTAATACAGGGGCTGGAGAAAGGAGGAAAGAAGGCAAAAGAAGAGATTTGAAAATAGAATGCAGAAAGATAGCACAAAAGGTCTAGTGGAAGGGAAATGTTTCTTATTGGTTAATTCTGCCCCTCCTGTATTTCTTCAGTCCCCCTTCCCTTATGGCCTCCTCTTCCTCTCCCCTCCCCTAAATCCGAGATTACTATGGGACTGCACCTCTAATCTGAGCAACACTGAGAATTCTCTTCAACACAAAGGTGTTAAGAGATACAAAAATGAAATATAAACATATGTCTTCATTTGCCAGTTCAAAACTGAGAATTTTTTTAATTCTTTCAATAATTTCTATTGTTCTGTCAGTATAATTCTTTGATTAATATAATGCTTTAAAGCAACCAGTTAAAATTAGTTTAATTTTCACTTACTGCTAAAAATCATAATGTTTCTTTTCCTTACCTTCAGGATTTTTCTTCATTTGGAGGAACAAGAGGGGAAGTAGGAGGCATTTCTATGACTGTGAAAGGATTAAACAGCCTCTAGTAGAAAATTACCATATTGCATGAACACAGAAGTTCCGTGACTTACAAATGTTTCTACTTAGGATTTTTCGACTTTACAATGGGTTTCTTGGGGTATTAAATGCGTTTTCAACTTAGGAATGCATTAATAATGGGATGTAGTCCCACCCTAAATTGTGAAGCATCTGTATATTTTTGTACTTTTTAGCTCTAAATGCTATTAAATATGAACATACTCAAGAAACTGCTTATCACTTCTCGATCTTTTGGCTAAGATCAAGTGTAGTACCTGTTCTTATCAGTTTAATGTCTATACATCCTCTATCCAAGGACAATATATTAAATGGATTTTTGGAGCAGGGAGATGGAATAGGAGCTTGCTCTGTCCACTCTGTACATCGACCTGGTATTGCAGTACCTCCAGGAATGGTGCACCAGAACAAAAAAAAGAAAGAAACTGCTTAATCTTCCAATTCATGTCTTAATATATATGTACCTCTGTGTTTTCAGATTCTTAGTTCTGGCTACATATCCTGTAGGTACAGAGAATACTCTGTGTCAAAAGATCAGCCTTGGATCACCTTATCCACAAAATGTTCATATTTTTATTTTATTAAATTTACTAGTCCCTTTGTTTAGATTGATCCTTACCAATACTAGGTTAGATGAGAGAAAGTATAATTTGAATTGACTTTTTCCTCTTTAAATTCAGTAATTGTTTGAATTGCTTAACTCGTTTCAGAGAACAGATATTTATTTGCTTTTCTTTTTCTTTTTCCCTGATTTGTTTGTATTGATCATATAGAGAACAATACAGTTGCCTTATTTCTTGTCCTTTACAGCCCGAGTGATTGATGTATCTAATGGGAAAGTCCATGTTGCTGAAAGCTGTTTGGAAGAAACAGGTGGCCTGGGAGTAGATATTGTCCTAGATGCTGGAGGTTGGTACCTTGTGAAATCAGTAGACTGTGTAAATTTTGTAGTTTGATGAATTTCAGAAAAAATAATTATTAACGCATTTATTAATTTGGATGTTTAGTTTTGGGTATTGTTTTTAACTGAAGACTTACTTAAAAATGAAGCTTCTTCACTTTATTCCCATTGTAAGCACTGTCTCTCTGGAAGAGAGAACATGCTTGCCTTTTAAAGCATAAGCATTACAGTTCGAGTAACAGATGACATATCTCTACAAAGAAACCTATGAACATGATCTTCAGTGATTCCCAGATAATATACATTATCATCCAGATGCCTGTTCAGTCAGCAGAAATGCTTTGTGTGGCTGCCTTCTATTGGATGGTTGATTTCTGCAGTCTCTATTTGGAAAATACAATGTTTGTTCCAGTTTCACTTTTCTTGAACTTTTTCAGTTTAACCAATATCTATTTAACACCTACTCTGAAACACTTAGGTAATACCATCCCTCCTAAAGGATAGGTTTTATAAGGCTGCAAAGTACTTATATTTATACTGTTAGGTTTTGTCTTCTAACATGAGAAGGATACATAAATATGGCTATGACTATCGTGATTTTTTTTAAAACCAGTATTTCCAACATTTGAGATCAACCCAGAGAAAAATCGTTCAATAAAAATAAACATATACTTCATTGGCATCATTTTTTCAAATGAACATTTCAATAATTATGTTAAAGTATCTTGATTGTCTCTGGTCTCAAACTCCTGGGCTCAAATAACCCTCCTGCCTGAGCTTCCCAAGTAGCTGGGACTGTAGGCGCAGGCCACTGAGCTTGGCTAATGTTGACTATCTTGAGTCTATGAGTTCTTTAGTCAGAAATCAACTCATCCCAATATACTAAGCCATCAATGTTATGATTAAAAATATCAGACTTATGTGTTATGTTACTTTGCCTGGTTTTCAAATAAAGATAGATTTTTTTATCTTTATATATTTCACTTATAATTAAATCTAGAGAAAATTATATGACCAGTTTTAATGCAAAAAGTATATTTTAAGGTATCTGAATATACTGTATGTTGCCTTTTTCTAAGAAAAATGTTTCTTCATCCCTACATTTAAAAAGTAAAGAAGGCAATATATGTAACCTAAACGTTTGTACCCCCATAATATTCTGAAATTTAATTAATTAATTAATTTTAAAAAACAAGAAGGGTAGGGCACAGTGGCTTATGCCTGGGCTAAAGCTGGAGGACTGCTTAAGCTCAGGAGTTCGAGACCAGCCGGAGCAAGAGCAAGACCCCCTCTCTACAAAAAATTAGAAAAATTAGCTGGGCATGGTGGCATGCACCTGTAGTCCCAGCTACTAGGAAGGCTAAGACAGGAGGATCGCTTGAGCCCAGGAGTTTGAGGTTGCAGTGAGCTATAATGACACCACTGCACTCTAGCCCTGAGAACACAGTGAAACTCTGTCTCCAAAAAACAAAGAAAGAAAGAACCGGGCATGGTGGGAGGCTGAGGTGGGAGGATCACTTGAGTGGAGGCTAGCCTGGGCAACATAGCAAGACCTTGTTTCTAAGTAAGTAAATAAAAATTTAAAAAAGTAAAAAGAACTTATTTCAAGAATAAATTTCTGTCAGATTATTATATATTTCTTCTCTCTCTCTCTTTCTTTTTTAACTATTCTCTTACAAGTGAGATTGTATAGTAAAAATGATGAACCAGCTATAAAATTACAACTACTGCCACATAAACATGATATCATCACACTTCTTGGTGTTGGAGGCCATTGGGTAACAACAGAAGAAAACCTTCAGGTATTTTCAGAAACAATAAAGCATTACTATTACTACCATTACACAAAAGGAGTATAATTAACAATAATGCCAAAGTCTTTTTTGAGGCAAGTTATGGCTAAATTAGTATAAATTTTTAATTATATCCTATGTTTAAAGAAATGTAGCTTTTTTTTAATTTTAGGTACATGTTGGCCAAAATGTTGAAATAGTGCCTAATAGAGAAGTTCTTTCAACTAGAATGAATTATAATTTTATGTAATAATTTGGAAGTAGTGGCTTATGAGTTTTTTAATAGCATTTCAAATAGCATTTTTTCCTTAGTAATAAATATTATTTTTGACATATACTTAGCAAAATATTTCTGTATAAAATTACTACAATTTCCTAATTATTAAAATTAGAACTACTATATTATGTGTGTATAGGTATCTCCCAAAGTTATGTTTTTCAACAGAATTCTAATTAAATATTTATATCATGGTTGATATGCAAATACTGTAATTCTCATATATCAATCTGCATTGATTTTCTAACATCCTCATGAAAGTGACTGGTAAGTAGTGGCCAGAAAAGACACACACACCCCACCACTTAATCACCAGGATTCTAGGTGAATCCGGGATTCTGCCATATACTATCACCTTGCTATCTCATCATTTTGAACCATGAAATAGAAAAGAAAATATTAGGCCAGGCATGTTGGCTCATGCCTATAATCCTAGCACTCTGGAGGATTGCTTGAGGTCAGGAGCTCGAGACCAGCCTCAGCAAGAGTGAGACCCTGTCTGTACTAAAAATAGAAAGAAATTAGGTAGGCAACTAAAAATAGAAAAAAATTAGCCAGGCATGGTGGCGCACACCTGTATGTAGTTCCAGCCACTCAGGCAGGAGGATCACTTGAACCCAGGAGTTTGAGGTTGCTGTGAACTAGGCTGATGCCACGGAACTCTAGCCCAGTCAACAAAGCAAGACTGTCTCAAAAAAAAGAAAAAAGAAAACATTTAACTTTACATGATGTTATTAATTAAAGTTTGTATGCTGATTATTTGTGACTTAGACGTTGTCTAATTTGTATAGAAGTTTTCTGTCTCAAGATACCAATCCTTCTGCTGTTCAACTCACAGTAATTGATCAGTCTTTGTTTATTCTATCCAAGTTGGATCCTCCAGACAGCCATTGCCTTTTCCTCAAGGGAGCAACGGTAGCTTTCCTTAATGATGAAGTTTGGAATTTATCAAATGTACAACAGGGAAAATATCTTTATATCCTTTTTTATTTACTGACTTCAGTTTCTGACTTGAAATTTACCTTGTACTCTACTAATAAATTCTTTCATTATGATAACAGGAAATAATAATAGCAATTAACTTTTATTGAGTATGCCAAACAATGTTCCAAGTACCTTGCAAATATTAATTCATTTAAACATTAAAACAACCCTTTTAGATACAAATACTGTCATTATCCCTGTTTCACAGAGGAAGAAACAGAAGCATAGAGGGGTTAATATATGACCAAGGACACAGCAAATGGCAGAACAAAAATCACACCCAGGCCGGGCGCGGTGGCTCACACCTGTAATCTTAGCACTCTGGGAGGCTGAGGCGGGTGGATTGTTTGAGCTCAGGAGTTCGAGACCAGCCTGAGCAAGAGTGAGACCCCGTCTCTACTAAAAATAGAAAGAAATTAATCAGACAACTAAAAATATATACAAAAAATTAGCCGGGCATGGTGGTGCATGCCTGTAGTCCCAGCTACGTGGGAGGCTGAGGCAGTAGGATTGCTTGAGCCCAGGAGTTTGAGGTTGCTGTGAGCTAGGCTGACGCCATGGCACTCACTCTAGCCCAGGCAAAAGAGTGAGACTCTGTCTCAAAAAAAAAAAAAAATCACACCCAGACAGTCTCACTCGTTTCTGAATAGGAGATAAGCCATAAGATACATGGATGATTTTCTTTTGTTGTGTTTGTAACCTGACATTATGGAAATTACACATCACCTTGAGTGGTTGTACACTTCTGTGATGGTGCCATTGCACAAAACATTTCAGAATATTTATCTAAATTAAAGAGTTTGTGGGGTGTTTTATAAATACCAATGCTAAGAAATCTTCAACAAATGACGATGGGGGGGATGGGTTTGATTTTTTTTTTTTTTTTTTCAGAGGCAGGGTCTTGCTCTGTTGCCCAGGCTAGAGTGCAGTGGCTGGGTCATTGCTCACTGTAACACTGTAACTTTGAACTCTTGGGCTCAAGAGATCCTCTTGCCTCAGCTTCCCAAGTAGCATGCACCACCACACCCAGCTAATGTTTTGTTTTTTGTAGAGAAGGGGTCTTGCTGCATTGCCCAGGCTGGTCTCCAACTCCTGACCTCAAGTAATCCTCCCACCTCAAGATT